TCCCCGCTGAGCGGAAAGCCCGATGTGGGACTCGATCCCAGGACCCTGGGATCATGATCTGAGCCGAAGGCAGATGCTTAACCATCTGAGCCACCCAGGCACCCGAAGGAAATTTGTTTTAAAAAAGCGTATTCAAATTCAAACGATCAGTTTGTGGTACCAGGAAGCAACGATGTGTTGGACCGCACAGAATTAGGAGTCAAGGATCCTCCATTTTGTTCTAGGGTCTTCTTAGGTACTGTGTCATTGTCAGGGGTCCCTTCAGGTTTCTATATCCACCCCCAAACACAAGTTTTTATTACAGAAATTCAAAAATACGCGGGGCAAGTTGAGAAAAGAATGTAACAAATACCTTTGTACCCACTACCTCAGTTCAACAGTGGTTAACAGTTCTTCCATATTTGTTTTATCTTGAATTTATCTCTGTCTCTGGGTGTATACATTCTATCCCCCTCCCCACACAGGCATATTTGTTATTTGTTGAACTGTTTGAAAGTAGATTACAGACATCCTGACGCTTCATCCCTAAATACTCCAGCTTGCATTTCCTCATAAGGACATCCTCCTATCCAACTACATGGTATGATGATCACACCTAAGAAAGTTTAAAATGATTCCCTAATAACATTTCACATTCGGTCCATATTAAAGCTTCTGCAGTTGACTCCAAATGATCTTTTATAACTGATTTTTGTTTTGAACCAGGAACCAATCAAGAATCACCATAAATTTGGTTGTTAAGGTTTTTAGTCTCTTGGTCTCTCTTCTCTCCTTGAAGTAGAACCTCCATAGAAAGTGTACAGATCTCGAATGTGTATCTTGATGAATTTTTAAACAATTGATTTTGTTTTTAAGAGCAGTTTTAGGCCTTGATGAATTTCTATTAAGTATACTCCTATGTAAGCACTAACCAGATCAATACATCGGATATTTTCATCACCCTGGAAGGTTTTCTCATAGCTTTTCCTTGTCAATATCTCTTCCTCCCATCTCCCAGAAGGGGTGAGGATCTGGAGTTCTCATACCTTTTGGCTGGGAGTATAAACTGGTTCAACCACAATTTTAGGAAAATTGTTTGCCAGAATCTAAGAAATTTCAACTTGTACTGACTCTATGATCCAGTAATGCCATCTCTCCATATATACTCAAGAGGAAATGATTGAATATGCCACTAAGAGACCTGTGCAAGCAGCTTTGTTCATAATTTCTCCAAACTGGAAATATCACAAATGCCCATCAACAATAAAATGGGTAAATATGTGGTGGTATATTTGTGCAAAGGAATACTACGCAGCAGTAAAAAGGAGAGCACTATTGAATCATGCAATAGCTTGGGTGAATCTCAGACATTATCTTGAGTGATACAACTTGATACAAAGAGTATAAAATATATGATCCTCATAGATAAAGGTAAAAAAACCACAAAAATAATCTCTTGTGAGAGGTCATTAGTTTTCCTTTAATTAACAAACACCACTTTTCTTTTCATGGCATTTTTTTTTTTTTTTGAAGAGACTAGGAGAGTTGTTTTGTAGAATATCTCATATTCTGGATTTGTCTGATCATTTCCTTGTTTAAGTTGATCCTTTGCAACTGAAGATCCATGAGAGAACTGAGCTGTCATGTCCTAAGGCACCCATTTTATGTTATGAATTAACTTCTATCCCATGCAGATAGAATGGGACTAGTTGTGTTTCATTGGGAAGATTGAGTAAGTCATTACTCAACTCATTTTCTGTGGCCTCTGGTTCAGTTGAGGAACTCCAGTCGAGAAAGGCATTTCATGGCAGATTGTTCCATTATTAGTGATGTGGATGTGAAGTTTGATCACTTGGTTAAGGTGGTAGCAGCCAGATCGCTCCATTGTAAAGGACGTTTTCCCAAGTCTCCATGGCTTAACAACCTCATTTGTCAATATGAAGCACTCATAGGTCAGTATCTCCCACTTGATGAAATAGTTTATTTCCAGCAAATTTGGCTGCAAGGTAAGATTGTTCAAAACAAAATGGTTATTTCACCTACAGGGCTTCACCCTGAAATGGGAACTTCATAACATGAAAAAGACATCTTTTTTTTTTTTTTTTACAAGACCAGTGCTCTAACCCCTGAGCTATGGAGCCTTTTTTTTTTTTTTTTAAAGATTTTTATTTATTCATTTGACAGAGAGAGAGACAGCGAAAGAGGGAACACAAGCAGGGGAGTGGGAGAGGGAGAAGCAGGCTTCCTGCGGAGCTCGATCCCAGGATCCTGGGATCATGACCTGAGCTGAAGGCAGATGCTTAACGAGGCACCCTGAAAAAGACATCTTAACCATAGTAGAACATTCTTAATCTTTGAGATTTTTAGGTGACATAAAATAAATTCCCTTGTTACTTGAGATAATTTGATAAGCATGATATTTTTGATATTAAAATTGCTTAGATTAAGGACACATGATACTGCATTTGTATGCATTTTGGTAGTGATAAATATTATGGGAGATAATGTTTAAATCATTGGCAGGAACCATACTAAGGATTTCATGTATATACCTCGAAGGCAGACCTGGGAGAGATGTGTTTCAAAGCATTTTGTATTTTCAAAAGTAACTTTTAAGAATTCACTTCTGTACTCTAACTTGAAGAAGGAAAAGTGGTTTAAACATGATTATCCACTGGCTTCATGGGAAAGAAATAAGTGACTTGGACAGGTTTTGGTGCCATAATCATCATACCAATCCAGAATAGTTTAGTGGAGAAAGCCCAATGGTCAAGTCTCACTTACTACCTGAGTAACCATGGCCAACTCACTCTAAGCCTTGACATCCTTCTGGCAGATTAAAGATAGCCACAAATTGATTTGTTGTTCCTTCCTTCAAGGGGTTGGGTCCATGTCTGCTCCCCTTGAATATTGGTGAGTTCTGGGACCACTCTGGCCAATACAATATAGCTCAAGTGATGATGTGTCAATTTCTGGACCCAAACCTTAAGAGACTGGAAGCTGCCATTTCCTGTCTTTTGGGACGCCCACTTTTGAAACCTACCTATCATGTTCGAGGAAGCCCAAGCAGCCTTGGGAAGAAACCCATGTGGAGAATAACCCTGAGCTGACATCACTGACTGAGCCACCAGCTGACAGCTTGTCCCACCTTGCCAGCCATGTGAGAGAACTATTCTTAGAGGTAGATCCTCTAGTCCTCAAAGTGCTGGTGCACGGAGCAGGGATAGCCATCTCCACCAAGCACTGCCCATAATTGCCGAGTGGTGAGTAACATAAATGAGTGCTCCTCTTAAGCCACTAGCTTGTTATTTAGCAAAGATAATAGCAACAATCTTCATTTGCAATATGGTGGTCAACCCACTTGTCTTGTACACACAAGGAAGGTCAAATAGGATTGGCTATATGAGAGTGCCTTGCACACCATAAAGCAGTTCTATGCCAGTGTAAGGTGATAGTCTCTGAAGTAACCAATAGCATGGAAGGATTCTGTAAATATTATCAATCTGAAGTAGGCATATTGCTCTAATTTCTATTGAGCCCATCTCCTGAAGTTAGAAACAGTACCAATTACTTTTTTTTTTATTGTGACAAGATAGACATCACATAAAATTTACCATTTTAACAATCTTCAAGTGTACAGTTCAGTGATACCAGGTACATTCGCCTTGTTGTGTAGACTACCATCTATCCCTCTTCAGAACTCCAGTTGCTATTGATAACAGGAAATACATCTTCTTAACAAATATATTTTTCTATTCTAAATATGAAGTAAAGCTAAGTCATCTTAGCACTGTATATAATTATGGTAATTTCAGGAATGAGACCATGTGCTGTAAAGATAGATAGGTTTCTAGAGAGACCGTAAAGAATGGCAGCCCACAGTCTGCAATGGAGACTCTCTTTCTTCCCAGAGCCCATTTTATTCCTGTAGAACCTCAATTAGTCATTAGTCAGCATGGGGATGGGGGAATATTTAGAGAGAAATGAGCACTTATTAAAAAGGGCCAAGAGAGCAAGTTTTCAAAGTTAGAACACTCCAATGAAACCATTTTATATATAAGCAGGCCCTCCAGAGTTAGCACACATACTTGCACCTGGGCCCCACCTGGACATAATTAGTTTCCCTGTGCTCAGAGCAGAGAAAACACCAAAGAAAATGATGTCAAAAAACTGAGCAATCTGTCATGATCTGTGCTGCACAATTAAAGCGGTGTGCTTTCTGTAAGAATTATGTAACACAGATGACATGGTATTTAGATAGCCAAGACTGGGAAACCATCTGGTTATGTTTGACTTCACAGCTATTATGTCTGTTTCCTGAATTGTTTGTATACTTCGGGGAGGGACTCATGTGAAGGAAGGATGAAACGCTCTTGGTTGATCTGTAAGAAGTACTTTTTATCTATCTGCAAATTAAAATGTTCTGGGAAAGACTTTTAATTCCAAGCAAGCAGAATCCTCAGGACTCGAGGACCAAAATAAAAGGTAGGCAAAGACTGGGTGGACCCATTCGTCACAGCAGCATGTTTGGGGTTGGAGAACAGTTAGCATATCTTGAAACAAATGGGAAAATGTATTGTGTAGCCTTATGTGATCCATCCACCCAACTCTCTCTTTTTGGCAGGGAGGAGAATCAGTGTCATTGCTTGTGGTCACAGACTTTCTGTCAGAGTGATAAAAAGCTTTGGATATACTGATGATGGTTGCGTAACACTGTAAATGTAATTAATAGCACCGAACTGTATACTTAAAAATGGTTAAAAGGACACATTTTACATGATAGGTATTTTACCACAACTTAAAAGAATTCGTACTATAATAGACCAAAACCCATTGAATTCTACCCTTAAAATGGGTGAATTGCATGGCATGTCAATCATATCTCAATAAAGCAGTTGCTTATACCTTAGGGACACTCACTTTTCCTTCACTCTGCATTTGGCCTACAGAGACCATGAAAAACCTGAACTGGAAAAATAATAAAGCACGCCTCATGGGGGAGAGGGATCTCCTCACAGCCTGAAGAGATTCAGATAATGAACTCAGAAGCTTGCCTTGCTTAAGAGGCTGAAGACCACGGGATATGGCCAGGGCAGAGCGTGTGGTTTAGAATCATTCCATGGTTGGTAGGGTTATTCTCCTGAAAGGTAACTTTGACAAGCATAAAGCTCTTCCCAGAGAAATCACCATGTCTAATGATGGCCTTGGCTCTGGGCTGCAGTGGGGGCATAACCACCTTTTGAGTATCAACCTGAACCCTCACTGGCTTGAAAAACAGTGATGTGAGTTTGAGTTGAGTCTGATGAGCCATTTCTTCCTGCTCTTCTCTGTGATGCTATGTCTGCGATGGAGAGTGATCAATGTTTTTAAAATGTGCATTTGGAGTTACAGGAGAGGCCATCCAGAGTGTCCACAATGTCACCGGAGGAGACAAAACCATTCATGGTTCAGCAGCAGCACACCAAGAAAACAATACCTCCCCAAACAGATCAAACCGCTGCTCATCAATCTGGTGCAAGCTGCAGGTTGCCTGACTAAATTACTGTCGGAGAGGCAGACGAGCACAATTTGTCAGTCAGCACTGAGTTTAAATGAGCAGAGATACACATAAAGCCAGCAATGCAATTGTAATTAAGAATTATAGGCATCAAGTTTCAACCGACGCTTTCTTAAGGTAGCAGTGACTGAGCTCTTAGAAACATCTGAGGGATCCAGAGTGAGATTAAAGCCAGAGCATGGGCTGCTCTACAGTTTAAGCAACTTGTCATGTATAAACGTGATGTGCTGATGATGGGGAATCCATGAGAACTCGATTTTTCCTCTTTTCTTAAAAAACTGTATATCACACATATGAAAGAATAATAATAATTTAATATTAATATAATAAAATGATGCTCTTGGACCCACTACCCGGATTAAGAACCAGAACACCTTGATTTGTTTTAATGGTGGTTGAGATCATTGTGAGAATTGACACATCTCTGGGTGCTGAGTTGAGCGGGGTTGAATACATGTTGCGTGCCGACAGTGAGTTAGCGATGAAGCGCGTGAAGATGAATAAAAGCAGCCTTGCCTCAGAGAGCTTACAGTCTGGAAGGGAGAAGAAGATGACAGCACAATTAGCTCTGCATCCCATGAACCCACAGGAAGAGTAGAGGCGTCACAAGAGAGGCAGGCAGCGTTATGGAAGCTTGGAAGAAGTTGGATCGGATGGGATGGGGAGGGCTGTGAGGACAGGAGCTCAGGGAAACCTTTGTGAAGAAAGTGGCATTTGAGCTGAACGTCACTGGTAAGCAGGGGTTTTACGAGATATGAGAGGGTGGAGGGACTTGAGACAAGCTGAGACAGGAAAGTCTCAGTCCTGTAAAAAGATAATAAATGTAATTTGTCTAGAATAAGAGAGAGTGGAATTATAAGATTGGACAACTGTTCTGATTCAATTTCTTATAAGACCCCCATGTCCTTAGGATACATTCCATCCTTGAAGGACTAACTTTCCTCGTCACCTAAAGACTAGCAAACCCAGAGTCAATCCTACTGAGGGGAATATGGGAGGGGAAATTATTGGTTTTGGCCATTCATCATCTATTCTGCCTTCCTAACAGCACCCCACATTTATTTGGGCAAACACTTCTTCCTCAATATTAGCCTGTGAAGCAGAGAATGGGATTGACTATATTTTAGCTCCAGGGTTAAACCTCCTAGCATAGTTGTTTGGTTTCGATAAAGGCAGGTGACCTAGTTAGGCCCAATGAGAGCAAGGCCCAGGGCTTTGGGGAGACTGTCAAGGAAGTTGAACATTTTCTTCTCTGCTGATCATAAAGCTGAGAGAATGTGAGGACTAGGGCTTCTGCAGACATCTTGTCATCATGTGGAGAGAGCCTGCCTAGAATGAAGTCAACACATTGAGGCAGGGTCAATATTCAGTATTTGATAGAGGTATGCCATGGACACCAATCAATCAGAATGGATACCAGCTGATATGCTCTACTGGGGCTCTGCCTGGAGGAACTCATAACTTTAAAAAAAGCTTTATTTATGATGTATTAACTCAAACAAAAATACTATCATATAGTGGTCTATCTATAATTTTTATTTTTATACAACCTTATCATTTTACTCCTAAAACTATTTATAATAATTTCATCTAAAACTGGTTAGATTCAGTTTTCCCCAGCTGTTTAAATTTTTTTCTTAATAGTTTATTTTCTTAAATCAAGAAATAAACAATATAAAAAGAAGTCTTTATGCTGGAAACTATTAGAAACAACGAATGCATGAAGTCATGGGTTCAAATCCTGACTCCTCCATTAGCTATGCCCTCAGACAGTCCACTTACCTCTTCACTTACCTCAATAATATCTAATTCAGAAGTTGTTGGGAAGATTCTGTGAAAATCAAAATTAACAGTCTGGGTGAATAAAAGAGGTTCCTTTGTGTGATGGTTAATTACGTGTCAATTTGATTGAGCCACAGAGTACCCAGATATTTGGTCAAAAACATTCAGGGTGTTTCTGAGAGGATATTTCTGGATGAGATTAACATTTAAATCAGTAGGCTGAATAAAGCAGATTGCCTCTAATATGGGTGGGCCTCATCCAGTCAATCGAAGGCCTGAATAGAACAAAAAGGTTGACCTTCCCCAGAGTAAGAGAGAATTCTTCCTATCTCATGGCCTTCACACCAGGATATCATTTTTTCTTTTAATGCCTTTGGACTCAGACTGAAACACTGGCTCCTCCTGGGTCTCGAGCCTGCCAGTCTTTGGATTGGAACTACACCGTTGACCTTCCTATGTCTCAAGCTTGGCGACTCACCCTGAAGATCTTGGGACTTGCCAGCCTCTGTAACTGTATGAGCTAATTCCTCACAATAAATCTCTTTACAAACACACACACACACACACACACACACACACACACACACACACACACACCCCTTATTGGGTCTGTTTCTCTGGAGAACACTGACTAATTCACTCTGTAAGAAATGCCCACATCTCTATGACCAATGGTCCCCATGGTGTAGCTCCAGCACATCATCCCTTCTCTCTTTCCTCTGTCTTCTTCCATTATTTCTGAGCTTCTGAGGGGATTATCTGATGTGGGCTTATGAAGAATCTTCTCACGGACCTCTTCTTGTTGCTGAATGCTGTCCAGCAAACCGAGACCCTACTGCAGGTGCTCTTGCTCTGTTCCTGCTCCCTGGAAGGCACAAAATCCCAATGACCCCAAGACTCACCCCTTAAGTCTTATATCTCACAAAATCCCTCAAGAAAATAGCCCCAGCCAGCCCCTGCCTCCAGCCTCTTAGTATAGGGCTCAGACCTAGTCCCAAAGGCTAGGCTCCCAGTCGACCTTATATTGCCATATTCATATCAGCTTCTCCCCACCTCTGCTTGCTACAGGCTCCATTCCTCTGGATAGAAAGATCCTTGAGGCTGCTTGGGGGTCAGCCAGACACTTACTCCTCATTTCAACTCAACTGTGACCTTCTCTCTAAACCCCTTGCATAGTTGGAGCTCAACATGCATTAGTCTTCTCTTTCTTAGGCTTAGAAGTGGAGTGATTGCAACTTTAGAAAAGCCAGTGTCAAGACAAGAATATAGTCAGGCTTGCTCCTTTTTTAAGTATGTTCAAGGACTAGATATGGTTATACAGTCTGGGGAATATTTTAGTTTCCGAGCACATTTTTGGGTAGAACTCTCTAACTCTATGAACTAACTTTTTTATGCTCTTCTGTTTTCAAAATAAAGGCAGGTGATATCTAAAATTAAGAAATTACATCTTTATCTCTGGGGTTAATACCCAGTAGTGCAATTGCTGGGTCGTAGGGTAGCTCTTTCTTTTAACTTATTATGTGGAATATAAGAAAAAGCATAGAGGATCATAGGGGAAGGGAGGGAAAACTGAATGGGAAGAAATCAGAGAGGGAGACAAATCATGAGGGACTCTTGACTCCGGGAAACAAACTGAGGGTTGTAGAAAGGGAGGTAGGTTGGGGGGATGGGGTAACCAGGTGATGGGTATTAAGGAGGGCATGTGATGTGATGAGCACTGGGTGTTATACACAGCTGATGAATCACTGAACCCTACATCAAAAACTAATGATGTACTATATGTTGGTTAATTGAATTTAAATAAAAAAAAAGAAACATTAAGCTAAAAAATAAAACATAAGAAATTAGGTTTTACCTTATAAAACTATTTTTGTAGGTAAAACACGCTCAAGTATTGGTGATCTCATATGGCCCAACCTAAGCGAGGATCATTTGTAAGTGGGCCAGTTTAATTCTGTCATTCCTGTAGATGGAAGAGAACAGGATGGATGGAAGCGAAGTTATATCTAGGATGCTAATTTAGGTCCCCTAGTCTTTCCTTTCTTTGTCCATAGCTCCCCCAGTTTCTATTTCCCTTGTGTCATATGCTGCTTTCTGAAAACCCGGACCCAGTCATGTAGTCCAAGCCTGCTCCACTCACAGTGGCCTGAGTTCTAATACCATCTTCGTTTCTCCTTAGTAGGCCAATCTTCAGCCTTAGGAGGATAGAAGTCTGACTAAAATTTTCTTGCACTTAGGATGTGAATGACTAATAGCTTTATTTCACATTATGTAGCATCATTAATGTCATTCGCAAATAACTGGATTCTCTTCTCCTCTTGGGCATGTGGTGGATCACCTCTCCATTTTTTCCATTTTAGATGTAGTCATATGCCTTGACTTAGCCAATAAAATGTGAGTGGAAATGACACGCTGCTTCTAGGAAGAAGCTTTAAGAAGGGTACCATTGAAATACTTCCTTTCAAAAGTGGGGGTGAGGGGCGCCTGGGTGGCTCAGTTGGTTAAGCGACTGCCTTCGGCTCAGGTCATGATCCTGGAGTCCCGGGATCGAGTCCCGCATCAGGCTCCCTGCTCGGCAGGGAGTCTGCTTCTCCCTCCGCCCCTCCATGTGCTCTCTCTGTATCTCATTCTCTCTGTCTCAAATAAATAAATAAAATCTTTAAAAAAAACAAAAAAACAAAAAAACAAAAGTGGGGGTGATTGTGAAAGTGTGTGCTAAGATGATGTCCCTGTTGGCCTGGATTTCTGAGTGGCTGCCAGGAACAGAACCCCATGCCATGGCATCACGCATGTCCTAGCCATAAGGTCAACACAGTGGACAGGGAAGGGGATGGTCTAATCCCCATGGTTATTCAGGAACCCAAATTCCTTGCTTTGGGTTGTCCCCCTGGGGCAGGGTTTGGAAAACTATATATAGTCTGTGGGCCAAATCCAATGTGTTTTTGTAAATAAAGTTTAATTAGAACACAGGCACATTCATTCATTTACATATTGTTGATGGTTGCTTTCCTAATACAAGAACAGAGTTGGGTAATCACAGCAGACACTGTATGGCCTCCAAAGCCTAAAATATTTACTCTCTGGACCGTCATAGGAAAGAGCTTGCTGGCTTCTATTCTAGGGTCTTGGAGGTTTCCCCTGAATTCTCTGAGTCTGGCTAGCAGATGAAAGAAGAGAACAGGGAAGATTGTATGG